AGTCTGCAACCCCCGTCATCCCAACCCCTTTCCCGCAGAGACCTAATCGGACTTCCCCATCCTATGTAGATCTAGGAAAACGAATGGTCACCTTCGTCCAAATCTAGATCCGGTCAGATCTAGTAGTGCAGGTGACAATCTAACTCTAGTGAAGATACAATCTCATACCGTCGGATCTAGATCCAGTCAGATCTAGAGAAACGGATTGAAGAACAAAGAAGAAGAAGACGAAAGGAGAAAGAAAAAAAATCGGAAAAAGTAGAGGAAGAGGGAGAAATGGAGAATGAAAGAAAAAATGAAGACTGAAAGAAAAAAACGAAGAAGAAAGAAAAATCGAAGAACAAAGAAAAAATGACGGAAAAAGAAAGAAGGTGGAGGAAGAAGGTGATAGGCTGGAAGAAATAAGGAGAAAGAAGGGGATAGGAAGGACAACTGGTTTGGGGAGGAGTGATGAGGTGGGTTACTGGGATGGAGTTAAGGGTTGAGGGTAAATAAGACATTTTACAAATAAACACTTACCTAAAATAGAAATGGGAAGTTTATTTGTGGACGGACGAAAAAAGAAAGTGAGAAATTTTTTTATGGACGGAGGGAGTATATATAAAATGAAAATATTCAGTGTGTTACAACACTTCCACAACATTGATATTTCTTACTCGATTTATTTTTATATGAGACCCACCGTTGGATTGAAAAAAAGTAGCATATTGATCATTGTCACGAAATTTCATAACAATCACAAATCATTTCGTCACAAAATGATACACCTTTTATTTTCAAGACAAAGAATCGTTGAAGGGAAAATGATTTCCTTAGGAAAACTGTATCCACTGGTAAATGAATGTGAGGAACTATAATTTAAACTAACATGAAAAGAAAAAGTAAAATAAATTTCAAAAGAAGATGCTTGCCTCATTTGCGTCTTTGCAATCCCCATTAATTTTTTTTGGCCATTTAACTCGCCAGCACCTATTCAGCAAACAAGCTTTATGCCAAATTTACAAAAAAAGATAAACTAGGTCACATTATCATAACATCAAATGCAAGAAAAAATGCCTTTCTCTTCCTAAGCGGCGTGCAAGTTCTTCAGCAAGGGCCTGGCCAGGTTTATCCCCATCAGTTGCAAGTATAATCCTAGATGCCTAAATTTAGGGAACCATAGCATTCTGGTATCAGCATATTAGTGAAATAATAAATATAACAAAAGAACTGAGAGCTAGCAAACCTTTTCAAATGCCTCCTTGCAGTTCCAAAGATATTGATATTTTGTGTCCTATGCTTACAGAAGAAACAAAACAAGCATTAGATCCAGCACTTGTAGAAAATGTCTCCTAGCAACGCAAAAGGAAAGCTGCTTATATCAAAGACAAATGAAAGTGCTTGATTCTGTTCTTATATATAAGAGCTTGGATCATTATTCTATTTATTGATTTTTCCTCATGCAATTACAAATTTGATCATATTCAAGAGTGAAATTAAAATTTAAAAAAATGTTAATGTAAAGAGACAAAGAAATTAATAGAAAAGATCATTGTCAGCGTCACCTTAATCCCAACTATGTTAGGGTTGGTGGGATGAAGTTGTGGGCTATCATATATTACTCTCCCTCCAAAAATAAACACACTTTCCTTTTTGGTCCATCCCATTAATATAAGTGCATTTCCTTTTTTGGAAAGGAATATGTGGTCAACATTATTTATCTCTTTTAAATCAATTCCAACCACACACTTCCACTTTTCAACACTTTGCATTACAATGGTGTTCCAACCGCCCACAAGATAGCCAAAAAACATGAGAAACTGACAGTGGGAAAGTGATGATAATGTGATTGCTTTACAATGGTATATAATGACACACGACTTGAATGTAACAAATGAGAAGAACACCATATGTGGGAAGCCTAAGTAAGTTGCTAGGAAGGTAGTGTGTGGGGGTGATTGTGCGAATGAGTTGTATAGTACACTAAAGCATCTTAATATTTAAAACTGCTCCTCAACTTATCCTAGTATTTCATCAATTCTCTCAAAGAATGTACAAGTTGTGTCGGATTCCCAGATACTTAAGTCGGGTCGAACCAGATAGGCAGATAATATGATAATTGAACTGGATGAGATTGCCATATATTTGAGCAAAACAGAGTTGTCAATATCTAAGCTGGGAAAATATTGGGACCTCGCAGGACTAAACAACTATTTCTGGATGACGCAGATTTTCTTGTAAGAACTCCAAGGTCCTGTTTTTTTAAATAAACCACCAGGGCCTTTAATTTTTTATTGTAAAGCCTATGTGGATACTTTCTGGAGCCAATGTCTAATAACTGACGCCATCTGTCTAATATTACACATTGGCACCCGAAAGTATCCCCATAGTCTTTACAAAAAAAAGTTAAAGACACCTGGTGGACTTAAAAGATAGAACCTGCATCACCCGAGAGTAATTGTTTGTTACAGGACTTCCACATATTGAACAGGACCCAAAGTGGACTGTACTCTAATTCTAGGAGTAGGACTGAACTGAGCTGCTTTTTAAAGAACCTACTGATATATCCTTCTCTTTGTATTTTATAAGATACTCCCTCTGTCCTAGAATACCCTTCATGTTTTGACTTTTTTTGTCAAACTTTGGCACTCTTTGATTACAAATTAATTATAATTTAAATAATAAATAAATGAGATAATAATCTGATATATCAAAACAATAACCTAAAATGAACCCAATTATATTGAATTTACATTATAATTAAATATACATTTTCCACAACTTGTGATCAAAGAGTGTCACAGCTTGACCAAAAAAAGTTAAAACATGAAAGTTTTTCGAGGTAGTATTAAATTTGAACAGACTCAAAGGCATTAGATTTGTGGAGAGTGACAAAATGAAAAGGGAACAAAACAATTTTGAAACAGTCAACACTCTCAACAGTGACAGTAAACGAGGGGACATGGAAAAGATGGTGGAGTATGATGGAGGAACAAGGCAGCCACTAATTACACCAAATGAAGTGTTATTCAAATAGTTTAAGAGATAGGAGACGGTGGGTGGTTGTGTCATCAACATAGGTATAGATCGTTGTAGATCTGAGAAACAAAATCTGACCCTGAGAAAAAAAATAGGCCTGTGGCGGCACTTGAGAGGAGATGCAGTGGTGGTTTTTCTGGTTTAAGTTTGCAGCAAGGAGATAGATCTGGTGGTGGGTTTACGCCTTTACGGATGACTCACCACAACTAGTAAAAGGTGCTCGTCACAAAAGTTACTATTTTCACCAGAACAGACACTCTTAACGCCTGAAAAAGGGATAGTTTAGGCCAGAAAATAGATGGGTCGGACACTGCGAAATATTTTGATATGTTATGATATTACGAGGCTATGGGTGGCAGCATAGATATCGGAAGAAATATGCGAAACTAATCATAGGAAAGTGATAGTAATACGATTCTATTACAATGGTTTAGGTGACTTCACTGTGACAAATGAGAACTTAAGAATCCATTATATAGGTGGAAATGAGACAAAAGGAAGTTACTAGGATGGTGCTAAGGATGTGATGTGTGTGACTGTGTGTGTGTGAATGAGGTGTAACAGACACTAAATGTATATTTGAATTTTATGATACTTTAACAGGAGCTTATAACGTCGAATTCCTGCATAATACTCCCTCTGTTCCTAAATAGATTACAATTTTTTTTCTCTCTCCTCTCGATAACTTTTGTTTGTTTACGCGATTTCAATAAGTATTTGATAAAATAAAATATTCTTGTCACCTCTTGTTTTGTAGAACTTTTGACGTATTTTTTTAATATGTAATTTTTATATCTTATTGATATACCAATTTGTAAATAAAATGATTTCAAAAAGTAGGAAATTTTACTCCGTAACCCGCAATTTGTAATCAAATTGGGGACGGAGGGAGTATAAGTTTTGTAAAATTTTAAAATTGTCTTATACAAGGTTAACTAGATTTATGCAAAAACAAAACATAGTGGTAATGTTATTTGCATGATGTCATTGATGCGCTTCCTATTGCAACCTTCTTATAAAACATGTTAGCACAGTTTTACATAGCAATGCCCTTCCTATCAAAAGATTAGTACAAATGAATGATGAATGAAATTCCAAAACCATTATCATGTGTTTTTTTCAGTTGCATGGAAATTGCCACAAGGCAGTGAAGCCTTTTGCTTAAAAGAAGTGAAAAGATAAAGAAACAATATGGAAAAGAGATGTTAGAATTAAAATAATGCAATAGAGAAGGAAACGAAATGGCAGTAAGCAAATTCATGTCACCGAAATAGAGAAAGGCAAGAGAAAGAATGTGCCTGTTCAGCTAATTATAAGCTAGTGACCTGATCCACGGGTGGCAAGTCTTTTGTTGAAACTGAAGGGGGAGCCCCATCAGGGACACTGACACAATTACGGAAGCCAGCTTCTTCCATTGCAAGCTTGTCCATCTCACCCTCAACCTACAATAAGAACGTATGCATTTACACGTAACACAATCCTGGAGCACTTCTATAATGAGGAAAGTTTTATAGAGTTTTACAATAATTATGTCACTTGCTCCCATTATATCATCCAATCCATAAAATATTTTTTCAGTGTCACTTTCCTGAAATGTTAAAGAGTCACATGAATAAGATATTGGGAAAATAAGAGACAACAATGATAATAAAAATAATATGAATAAAAACTACGAAAGGCACATTTAGCCCTAAAGTTAGTAGGATATAGTAAAATCAACCATTACTTATTAGGGCTTGACTTTTCACCCTTAAATAGACCTCGCAAAAAATGATCTAACATGTTTACAACCTTAGACTCGACCCGAAAATACTAGGTTTTTAACAATGATTTTGTTTGCCAGACCCGAAGATGATCGAACCTAAAATGGCCCACAAAAATGGGTCAACCCCAACTGAACCCGTCCTTTTTTTTCAAAATCATGTGCTTTAATATGATATATAATGTGATAAAAATTTATATTTTTTTTCTTTTTTACTACTCCTTTTTAGTGTGTAAACTTATCTTTTCAAACAGGTTTTTAATTATATCAAATTGTTATCTTACTTTCTTTCAAAAAGTGTTAATGTTTAAAATATTTATATTATTTATTGTATTGTTGTATACATCTAAAAGTTAATTGAAAATTCAAATGAAAATATTATAATAGTGTTACTATATACTTTGAAATTGTTTTTATTTAGTATGGAAAATGCAACTGATAGCATAAATTTAAGTGTTAAAAAATTAAATGTTCATAACCTGTTCGGAAGAACCCAATGGAACTAAGGCTCCGTTCCGTTCAACTTATTTTTTCTGATCTGATCTGATTCTAATAAGTTCTGATCTGATCTGGTCTGATCTGATCTGATTGGATCTGATCTGATCTGATTGGATCTGATCTGATCTGATCTGATTGGATCTGATCTGATTGGATCTGATCTGATCTGATTGGATCTGATCTGATCTGATTGGATCTGATCTGATTTGGTCTGATCTGGTCTGATCTGATTAATTATGATTTAATTTAAAATTTCAAATCAATAATTTAATTTGACTTTATAATAACGTTTGAAAATTGTAATGATAATTCATATTATAATATAATCAATATTTTTTATTTAATGATTATTTTTTAATAAAATAAAAATAGTTAATTCATATATTCGAATAATCATTCATATTATAATGTAATAATATTTTTTATTTTATGATAATTTTTTTGTAAAATTAGAATTATACATTAGAATAAATATTTAATTTAGATATACATTAAAAAGTAATTAAATTTAGATAATCAATATATAGAAGAGATAGTATTTTTATTAAAATATCTCATCCTTATAAAAGATCAAAAGTTTAGAAACTCAAACTACAAGTAGCAATAAAAATATATTTTAAAAGTAGAATTAGATTGATATTGTCAATGTATTTTAAAACTAATTTTTCCGACGTCTAATAATTAAGGATTACTTTCTCAGTTTTTTATTTAACCTATTTCTAAAGTTTATTCTTTTTCATTTTTAAGACCGATGATGATGATGATGATGATGATGATGATGAAGAAGACGATGATGATGATGATGACGATGATGACGATGATGACGATGATGATGACGATGATGACGATGATGACGACGACGAAGCGACGACGACGACGACGACGACGACGACGACGACGACGACGACGACGACGACGACGACGACGACGACGACGACGACGACGACGACGACGACGACGACGACGACGACGACGACGACGACGACGACGACGATGACGATGACGATGATGATAATAATAATAATAATAATAATAATAATAATTCTTGATGAGATCTGATTTTAATAAATCCTGATCTGATCTGATTGGATCTGATCTGATCTGATAGGATCTGATCTGATTGGATCTGATCTGATCTGATTTGATCTGATCTGATTCGATCTGATCTGATCTGATTCAATCTGATCTGATCTGGTCTGATCTGATCTGATTTTAATAAGAATAAGAAAAAATAAGTTGAACGGAACGGGGCCTAAGTCATGAACATGCATTTCTCAACCCGGACGAAAACTTACCCAAACCCGAAGTAACTCAAATCTAAAAGAAGCAAACTCTAACCCGACCTGCCAACTCTAGTGATAAATCTAGTTCATAGTTATTAGTTAGTTAAAAAAGCATAACATTGCTTAGAGTTTGTCTCTACTATCAAAAATTCTTTTTTATTTCAATTTTGCCATTAAAAATGAAAGAGAGTCAAATACGACTATATCTTTAACCCTTTCTAAACATATTCTTTTTTTAATGCTAACATTATATAAATAAATACTCCCTCCGTCTCGCAAAGAAGTTAATGATTTGACTTCATGGACTTCACGAAGTGTCAAAAGGTAAAAATTTTGTGGTTTGAATTTGTTTATAAGAGAGAGAAATGTTGTGGGCCACATATTCCTTTCGTAAGAGGGGGTAATGGAGAGAGTGTAAAGCTTATATGAAAAGAGTACCTGCCAAAAGATTTTGTTTACATCCCGGTATTTGCAGCTTACAAGTTCACCATTCCTTCTATACGGAAATGCAATAACAATCTGCATCAACAAAATGTTCAAAAGAGATTAAAACAAACTCAATAAAACCCCCGTCTGGGGGGGTGTGTGCAAACCTTACCCCGACCTAAATAGTAGCGAGGTTGTTTCCAAGGCTTGCTTGTTCAAAACCTTGGGAACAATGGATTTAAAAGATTTAAATTAACCCCCCCCCCAAGGAAAGACTACGAGGCTTTCATAGGTCATAGATAAACCATTCTATGGATGACAAGAATAATGGTGGTTTCACAAAAATACAAAATACTACGTATTTAGTAAGAGCACACCCAATGGTCAGGAAAAAAATCCTCGCCAATCTCTCTACACTTTCCCTCTATGTAGCACAGAAACGGAGAAGGGGACGGGGACGGAGATGAGACAAAACAAAGACGCGGAGACGGCTATTTTGAAAAAATGGAGAGACGAAACGCCTGGGAGACGGCTAATTTTTTTAATATATTTTTATTTTTTATACGACATTTGGTCACTACTAAAAGAAGTAAACTTTATAAAAGGCCTATTAGAATATACAACTTTATAAAAGGCCTATTATATTTCAATCATTTAATATACTTTGAACTTAACAATCCTACTACAATGGTAGTAAACTTTCTAAAAAGCCTATTTTAAAGTATACTTTTAAAATAGAAGACCTATTAGATTTAATGTACTTACTAGGCCTAATACTTTTTTAATAAACCTAATGTACTTAATAGGCCCAACCGCCCAATATGTTTGTACTTAACAAGCCTACTACAATGGTAGTAAACTTTCTAAAAAGCCTATTTCGGAGTATAATTTTAAAATAGAAGACATGTTAGATTTATATGTACTTAATAGGCCTAATACTCTTTTAATAAATGTAATGTACTTAATAGGCCCTGATAGAATTTAGGATGGGGTATGGATAATTGGATTGGGTAATAACACACTTGGGTTGAACCACATTAAAAGATTGAATCCAATCGATTAGTTAGTTCAACGCAAGAGCTTATATACCGATTATTTTCCTCACACTTTTCCGATGTGGGATACTTTTTAACACTCCCCCTCAAGTGGACAACCGGGTCATTTTGAATCTAACCGGTTGACCACTTGCAAATGAACTCCCATTCCCTTGACTTTTTTTTGAGCGCCAACACCTAAAGAACCACGAGCCGCTGGGTATAAACTTCTAGACGAGCAATCGTGTTAAACGGGCCACAGGCCGTTGGGTACATACTCCACACGGACAACTGGGGTAAAGACTAATGGACCGCTAGAAATGAACATCTAGACGGACACCTTTGACAAACGAGGTGGACCAAAACCTGCTCCGATACCATGATAGAATTTAGGATGGGGTATGGATAATTAGATTGGGTAATAAGACACTTGGGTTGAACCACATTAAAAGATTTAATCCAATCTATTAGTTAGTTCAACTCAAGAGCTTATATACCGACTATTTTCCTCACTTTTCCGATGTGGATACTCTTTAACAGGCCCAATACTCTTTTAATAAACCCACTCTAAATTATTTGACCTTAATGACTTAAGAGTGTGTGAGGGTTGGCCAAAAGAGATCTGAAAGCCGCAAAGAAGAATCGGCGAGAAAGGGAAATCGGTAAGTCGATCGTCTCCCAAAAGTCTCTCTTCCCTTTGTCTTCTTTCGATCTTCTTCTTCTCCTTCATCTTCTCTCAAAGTTTTTCCTATCTTCTTTGTCTCCCGCATCCTATCGTGTTTCTCTCCCGCATTTCTAAAAAAGGGCGACGCGTCTCCTTGGCGTCTCCCTGCCGTTTCCTAGAGCAATTTATATACTTTTAAAAGAGAAACGCCAGGTGCCGTCCGGGTGACGTTGTGAGCCGTTTCCCACGCGTTTCGGCGTGTCAAAGGTTTCCGACACGGATACGGCAGCCACCATGGCATTTCCGTGCAACATAGCTTTCCCTCTCATCCACATAATCATTTTGTGTGCAAAATTTGTTTTCGATGGTAAGAAATTATTTTCCCTCTCATCCAGCCTCTCACCCCATTGAGGAAATAATTTCCACACAAGTGTAAAAGGACTCACATATTATATACAAAAGCCTCAAACCTCACCGATGGGATCCAAAAAAAAATACTGGCGCATGTAAAATTTCCACACCATTGGGAATGGTCTAAGAGAAGATAATAAATGAAAGAGTAAATTCCATAAAAGGTCCCCAGTTATAGGTTGTTTTACATATTTAGTCCCTACATATCAAATATTACAAATTTAGTCCCCAATTATTATATTCATTTCCACGAATGATCCTTTGTTAACATTTCCATTGAGAACATGGATAAAATTGTAAATTTACACTCATTTCTCTCCTCAATTAAGCGTCCTCCCTCCCCTCGCACTCCTTTCCCAAACCTGTCGCTGAGTTTGAAGCTTTGAACCCAAAACCGAAATCATCACTCTTCTCTCAATTGTTTGTCTAACTGGTGGAACCCAAATTCAAAACCAGTAACCTTCATAGATGAGTTTTAATGTTTATTTTCTTTATAATTTTTTGAGACTAACTGATAAAACTCATCCATAAAGCTTATTGGTTTTGATTTTAGGTTCCACCAAGAAGACAAATAATTGAGAGGGGAATGATCATTTCAGTTTTGGGTTTAAAGCTTCAAACTCAGCGACGAGTTTGGGAAAGAGTACGAGAAGAGCGAGGAAGTTAAATTGAGGAGAGAGAGGAGTGTGAATTTACAATTTTATCCACGTTCTTAACGAAAATGTTAACAAAGGACCATTCGTGAAAATGAATATAATAATTGGGGACTAAATTAGTAATATTTGATATGTAGGGACTAAATATGTAAAACGACCTATAACTGGGGACCTTTTATGGAATTTACTCTAAATGAAATGCAAATTTGTAGCCCCAAAATCAGAGAAAAGAGACGACCAGCTGTCAAGCAGGGTTTGCATATTGAGTTCTGAGGTGAGATTTCCAAATGATAAAATGGTACTCCCTCCTTCGCAAAGCACCGAGATTAAGAAAAGTAGAAAATGTTGTTGACCAAGGCCTCCCAAGGGAGGGCCAAGGTACAACCAACCTGGGCCCATTTTTTGGGGCCAATATTTTTTTAATCTTTTAAATGTATATTATATTTAAAAGAATAAAACCTTAGTTTTTTAAGGTAGCTATTACGATATTTAATTATAACAATATGATTTTGTTATGTTTATTACTATAAGTCTATAATGTTAATTGTTGTTTTAAAAAAAAATATTTTATATACTTTAATTTGTTAGGGTCAAGGGTCCATTTTTCGTCTCTTCCAGGGCCCTTAAATCCTCTCAACCATGGTAGTCAAACTCGCGATCCAGATCATGCGATTGTACGATTCCGCAGATCGCCAGGGGGTTTCCAATCCAACTCGTCCTCAAAACTGCAAAAATCCTTTGAGTCGGAAGAACTGCTAATCCGGATCGTGCAATCGCACAATCGCAGGAAATCGTCTATCGTAAAAAGAAAAGAATCAGAAATTTAAAAAGCCTGTTCTGTTGCTTCAATTAATTCGCGACTTTTACAGAGACAGACGCGATTTTATCTAGCCTTGTCCCTTCTAATGCGGCAAAGCCTGCTGCCCTGCGTGTCTCCTCCGTGTCTCAGTTTCTGCCCATGTTTTATTTATGATTTTTAATTATATATAAGGAGTGTGGGCTATACTGTAAAAGGCTAATATAGGGTATCTTTTATCTTTCTGTGTGTGTAGGAGGATCTTACGATCTGAGTCACAATCTTACGATGTTACGATCATCATTAGGCCTATCGATCCTACGTAGAATCTAGTGTTTGACTACCATGCTCTCAACCTGTTGTTGACTTTCCAATACTACCCTTGAGTGAAACATGCTCTAGACAATAAACATAACTCATTTACGAGTAAATCTAGGTTATTCCAATCATCCCTTCACTTAGACTCTGAACCAAGTCCAAAAAATAAAAACTCCCCTTAGATTTCAAACTGAAGACATTAATTACAGAAATGCTCTACACGATAGGAGTATAAGAATCAATAGTGAAGCATTCAAGAGCCTCATTGCCAACAATTATGGCCTAGAAAGGTACAGAAGCCAAAATTTGTGCAATTCTTCATGGAAAACTAGAAAATTAAAGGATGATAAATTAAAGATTCGATTTTCTAAACTATAAGCTTCACATGTTGAAATAAAACAGGTCAAGTGAACATTTTGGAAGTAAAAGTATTTGCAGGGTAAAAATGTACTATGGGATCCATTTTTTACAAAAGAAAGAGTGAAATACAATGTGAACCAACTAAGGAAAGTTGGTGAGCAATTTCCAAGAGCAAAAAACAACTTTCTACAACCAGCCTCTTAATAAAATAAAGCATTAACATAAAAATATAATAGGACGACGAACCTGGTTACGGGCTTTGCACTGCATGACACCATTTCTCCTCAGGGTTTCCCCGGAAATCATTCTCTGGGAAAAGTACGCAAGCAGCTGCAATACAGGAAATTGAATTGCCGCATAAGTAGAGCTTGCCAATATTATACACAATGATATAAACTCTTAGGAGACAACGTGCAAAAAAATGTAATCTTGCAACCAAACTTTATCAGATTTGTTTGAGTGGTGACCCCGTGGTGCCTTGATGAACACTTTCTCTACTTTCTTCCAGAGGAGGTCAAGAGTTTGGTTCATATGCAATCATCATCAACAAATTAGACCCAATTCATTCCATCAACATGGCACACTTATCATACCATCAATTAAGGTTTGTTTCTCAAAAAAAAAGGTCTAGATAAATATCCAAGGTAATGTGAGGTGATTATTTAGAGAGGGAATAGGGTGACATGCTCAGGGTAGAGAGAGGCCATAACCGAGATGACCAGAGACAGAAGAGAGAAAGATGAGTTTTATTGTTTTTATATTAATTACTCAGTACCATATAACAGATTAAAGTCAATAGAGAGAGTGGGGATAGAGAAAGATGGGTCACACTGTTTTATATAAATACTAAGTGCATAGGCATATGCAAGAGACTACTTCAGGCAACAACCCAAAATAAGAGTAGAAGATATTAAAGTAGGCAATTACAAACCAATTATAAATACCTCATTATTTAATGGTTCTAATCCCAAACTTTGCTCGTCTAACCGTCTGATTTTCTTATTTATTTTCATGATCTTATTCTTTTCTCCTTTAGTAGGCTTCATGTCTGCAAATGCCTGCAACCGCATAAAAATCACCAATTTCAAATGACACATGTACAAATTTTTAAGTGATAAAAAATCAGGAATGGACATTCAACCCTTACCAGTGTGCTGCCTCTCCAACCACATTTACCTCTAAAGCAGTTCCATAAAGCTGAATTGCTATAAATCATTGAATTATATATCATCTGTGTACTGTTAGCAGAAAGAAAAATATTGTGCAATAATTACAAAATCATACGGCCAATTACCCATTTGGATCAATAAATAGAGATAAGCTTCTCTCCTTAGAATCCCCTCCATTGCACTGCCGCAAGAGAGCAATCCAAGACCACACAATATACAGAGTGAATCAGAACGTGAAAAATACAAAGGTAGTACAGAGTACTAAAGGGTTTAAATAGAAAATGAAAAGATCAACACATTCATAATGTATTAGTGTCTTCCAGTGTTCAGTGTATTCAGATTTTGCATTTTTCATTATATATATAAAGTGTTAGGGTTAACACCACCCAATCCAACACAAACTCTCAAGACTAAGAAGTAAGAACGCATTTTGTGAATTACTTGTTTTTTTTAAAGTAGTTGAATATATTGAACTTGGTGAAGTGATAGAATCAAATTATTGAGCATGTAAATATCTGAAATATATTGTATACAAATTGGTGAGTGATGCCTGAATATGGACACATACCGAGTGTGCATTAAAAAAACACTTGTTAATGTATTGATTATGTTTTAAACAGTGTATAAAATGTGTATACTCCATAGTTATCACGGCACCAAGTCGAGGCGCGGTGATGGGATACCGCCAGGATGGTGAGGATGCCTAGTCGAGTAGGCGACCGCCTAGGCGACACATAATATAGGAGAATTGCTATACATTTAAAACACTAACATAAATATATCAAATTATGTATTGTAGTTGGTAAAGTTTAAATTTTTCTAATACATCAAAGTTTAACTACCAAAGTTACTTTTAAGTACTTTCCTCAAAAAAACAAAGTTGAAAGTTGGTAATAACTAATAAATTAATCATTTAAAATATTAAGCACTGAGTATTAATTAGGAAAATAAAGTAGAAAAAAACATTAACTTGCAAATAAACTAATTTATAAAGCATTAAAAAACAAAGCACTGGAGCCGGGGGTATAAAACACTTGAAAAATAAAGCACTGGAGAAAAAAAAAAGTGTTGGACTAGGCAAGGCTAAGGTGATGCCTAGGCGAGGCCAAGGCAACGCTTAGGCAAGGTATGCAAAATAAGGCAAGGCGAGCTCTCATGGCAAGAGTAGAAGAGCGCCTGGACGCCTAGGTGACACCGTGATAAATATGGTATACTCACTCCGTCCCAAAATAAACTTCTCAATTTCCTTTTCGGGTTGTCTCAAAATAAAGTTCCCATTCCCTATAAGGAATGAAATGGGTGGTCAACAATAACTCTCTCTCCTCTTCATCAATCTCAACCAAACAATATCACTTTTTTTAAACTTTGTGAAAAAGGAAATGGGAACTTTAATTTAGGACGGAGGGAGTACCTTTTATGGTTCAACATTACTCTAGAAAGTAACTAGTAGCACTAAATCGTTTGTGATCATTGTTTTAAATGGCATATACAATTAGCACATTAAAAGAAGTACAACAAACCAATACAACAAAAATTTTTGGATTGTGTTTCTCATAAAGTTCTAGGGTGCCCCACTATAACCATATTATAGTGATGTCGTGCTATCAATAAATATTCAACCCAACTCCCACTCAAAAGTGTTATGAAGGGGTGAATTTACATCATACTCTATCCATCCCACTGTATTCATCCAATTTAACTTTTTTAGTAAAATTGGACGAAAACTAATAGATTAATGTTTTGTACAAGAAGGAAAATACTTCTTTGATTCACAAAGGCAATTGGAGCATAGGTGTAGTCTAGGCCGGGCCTATTGGTGTAAGATGTGGGTTTCTATTGGGCTTTTTTGGACTCGTAGTGGTGGTGCAACATCTTGCGTTTTGGGCATGGGCCAATATCCCCACACAAAGTATTAAGATTTCAAATCCATGTCTATAGACATTTAGTTTTTTATTTTCGTAGTTTGTACAATATCTATCACTAAATAAAGTTGCTCATAATGGATGTTGCAGAACTGCCATTGAGAACTCTCCACATACTATCTATGCATCCTCAAGTAGAAGCCTTCACTCTTCGAAAATTGAAGCACGAACCTAGATACCATAGTAGGGTACATTTCTAAATTCTATTCAGGCAAATCTAAGGATACATCAGTACATTGAATTGCTATGCCCTTGTCACTGAGGAATACACTTATACACCAATGTTGCAATTGTAGCAAGACATGTTTGTATTTAGTAAACCATAATGCAACTTGAAGATAAGCTATTATCCATCCACATGAAAATGGCATGCCTGAGTCCAGCAAATTTTTATGATACACTCTTGGTGGCCTTATTAAGCACTTGGCACCAACCGCACCACATAATAAATACTTACACGAGAAATGTAAAAAAGAAACATAAACAACTACACTCAAATACCAACAAATGGTTGTGGTTAATTTCCTGGATACATAATTTCACCTATAATAACCAAACACATAGGGAGAAAGAATAATTCTATATGTTCATACTGAAACTAATGGAATGGCCTAATAATAGAGGCAATACTAATGAAATGGCCTAATAACAAAGATAGTGCTAGCATAAAGGCATTACCATTGGACAAATCAATCCAGTGTACTGCCCGGGGACACATGAACCACAGTCTATTCCGATCTCCTTAAGTTTACTGCTCAACAAGTTCAATCGCAAGGACTTCAGTTGGTGGTCATCCTCCAGTGAAACTGAAAGGGCCAACCGATAGCAACTTAAAATAACAATTCATTTAAAACTACTAACCCTATACACAAATTTCAATCTTGAACTTAAACAATAACCTGGCGGGGAAGTGGGGAAGGTATGGGCCATGTGGGACAGACGAGAGGCCTGGCAAATGGGAGAGATGCGTTTAGATGGAAATGTGGAAACGATTAGCCTGTGGCTGTGAGTGTGGAGAACACGGCAAGGAGCTGATGGAGTTATGGAATTTGAAACAGATTTTGGCGCGACACTGCAAGGAGTTATGAGGGAAGGATGAACCAGGTTCTTGGAAGACGCCATTGTCATTAGAAGGTTGTTCAATTTACAGGTACGGCTACTGAAACTGCGCAAGAAAAACCCTCCGCGATGATAAAGGGGAAGCATATCAGAAGTATAATAAGTTAATCCTCTTCTTTCTAGCCTTCAGGGAGATGTTGAAAGACCAGGGCATACGCGAAAATGATTTTGGACGTCTTCTGATTCCAGAAAAGGGTTTATCTAGGCTTAGGCCCGTCAACTTATTTTTTCTTATTTTTTTTTATTCTTATTAAAATCAGATCAGATCAGATCAGACCAGATCAGATCAGATCAGATTGAATCAGATCCAATCAGATCAGATCAAATCAGGACTTATTAAAATAAGATCTCATCAAGAATTATTATTATTATTATTATTATTATTATTATTATTATTATTATTATTATGATCATCATCATCATCATCATCGTCATCATCATCATCATCATCATTATTATTATTATTATTATT